CCCCTCTGGTCTTCTCTTCCTGTGGGGGGATGGGCCACGAAGCTGCCATCACGGTGAAGAGGCTGGCAAGTGCTTTAGCCGTGAAGAGGCATGCGCCGTACAGCCAGATGGTGTGTTGGCTCAGATGCATGCTAAGCTTTTCGCTAGCCAGGTCTGCTATTCGCTGTGTCCGTGGATCACGCTCAATTCGCCGCCGTCACTTTGACCATGCCCCTGTCGACCTGGTCCGAGCAGAGGCACAGCTGGTGGTCAGCTAGACAGTTGTCATCATGTTAAATTTCTTTAGTTCTCAATCTATCATTTTCATGCCAGGCGTGAGCCAGCCCCTGGCTTAACAAAATGGGTGCTCCTTTTTAGTTTAGTTTTCTTCCTTTTAGTTTAGTTTTTCTTCTCTTCTTCTTTTTATTTTGCTTTGCCCGTACAAGAGGCTTACTTCCTTCAAAAAAAAAAAAAAAAAAAAAAAAAAAAAAAAAAAAAAAAAAAAAAAAAAAAAAAAAAAAAAAAAAAAAAAACGACTTAGCCAGCAGGAACAACTTTTAACCCTGCTGGCAGCTTGGTTTTTGCCCTACCTTTTTTCCCAAGCTGATGAGCTTAGTGGCCCCATCAGCGCAGGGCAAGCGACTGGGAAGGCCAGGAGCGCAGTTTTTTGATAGATAACCCCTTGAACTCTGGCCGCTTGGTTTGTCTACTTGGCTTGGCTGCGGCCTAAAAACCCGGCCGCAGAATGCTTGGCTCCAGGCGGCGCTGGCCCCTTGGCATCAGCGCCTCGCGTCGGGCCCGGCGTGTCACACGCCGCCGGCGCCCTTGGACTTTCTAAAGAAAGACGGCGGTGCGTCATGCTTGGGTCGCTCATATCGGCGCCAACCGCGCCTCGCGTCGGGTCGTTGTTGATTCCTCGCCTCACGACCCTTGGACTTTATTAGGGAGGGAGGCGGTGCGTCACGCTTGGGTCGCTCGTATCGGCGCCAACCGCGCCTCGCGTCGGGTCGTTGTTGATTCCTCGCCTCACGACCCTTGGACTTTTTTAGGGGAGTGGGCGGTGCGACATGCTTGGGTCGCTCATATCGGCGCCAACCGCGCCTCGCGTCGGGTCGTTGTTGATTCCTCGCCTCACGACCCTTGGACTTTCTGAGGTAAGACGGCGGTGCGTCACGCTTGGTTCCTCATGTATCGGCGCCAACCGCGCCTCGGCTTCGGGCCTTGTGGTCTCCTCGTCCCAGGCCCTTGGACTTTGTGAGGTAAGAAGGCGGTGCGTCAAGCTTGGTTCTTCATATATCGGCGCCAACCGCGCCTCGGCTTCGGGTCGTTGTGGATTCCTCGTCCCACGACCCTTGGACTTTGTTAGGGGAGTGGGCGGTACGACAAACTTGGTTCTTACTATATCGGCGCCAACCGCGCCTCGGCTTCGGGCCTTGTGGTCTCCCCGCCTCAGGCCCTTGGACTTTCTGAAGTTAGAGGGCGGTACGACATGCTTGGGTCGCTCGTATCGGCGCCAACCGCGCCTCGCCCGGGCCGTTGTGGATTGCCCGTTCCACGGCCCTTTATTACCTGCGGGTCGTTGTTTGGTCCGGCCCGCTGGTACGGTAACTTGGTTCAAGGTAGCTTGGCTTGTCGTAGCTTGGTTCTACAGGCTTGGCTTAGGTCCATGTTTTCTAACCTGCGTTCTTAAAGCCTGCTGTTCTAGGTCCAGGTTTTCTACAGGCTGGGCTTGTCGTTCCTTGGGCCTAGGTCCATGTTTTCTAGCCTGCTGCCGCCTTTGTAGCCTGCTGTTCTAGGTCCAGGTTTTCTCCTCCTTTGTAGCCTGCTGCCGCCCTTGAGTACTGTCGGCGTAGGTCCAGGTTTTCTAACTTACGGCCTTAGAGCCTGCGTTCCTTTGGGGCTGCCGGCAAGGTCGCCGCCTACTCTGTTCTAGGTCCATGTTTTCTAACCAGCTGGTGCCCTTGAGTGGTCTTAGCTTACTGCCGCCTTTGCAGCCTGCTGCCTTAGGTCCAGGTTTTCTAACCAGCTGGTGCCCTTGACTTCTCTTGGCCTGCTGCCGCCTTTGCAACCTGCTACCTCAGGTCCAGGTTTTCTAACCAGCTGGTGCCCTTGAGCTTTCTTGGCCTGCTGCCGCCTTAGGTCCATGTTTTCTAACCTGCCGGTGCCCTTGAGTTCTCCGCCCTGACTGCCACCTTTGTAGCCTGCTTTGGCCACCCGCTGGGAGAAGCCATATTGGCTTTCCTCGTCGTTGAACCTCTCCCGCTAGGAGAAGCCTGAAGGCTTTCCCCACCTGCTGCTGTTGGCGTAGGTCCATGTTTTCTTAGCCCTCTGACTGCTTTTGTCCCCTTGGAGGTGCCTCCTTTAAGCTTTGGGCCTCAGGGTTATAGGGCTTCTTATCTGACTCTTGCCCCTTGGCTGTGGCTAGCAGGGATGGCTTTTCGTTTTGTTCGGCGGTTCTGAGCTCTTTGCCTTCTGCAGATACAGTGGGCCACCCTTCTTGGGCTGGTTAGCCCCCTCTTCTCCGCCTAGCACTGTTGGGCCTTCACCTCTTTTTCTAGCGCCTTTGGCAGCCCTTCCCTCGCCGGTTTCCTTCTTTTTGGGCCTTTCGTCTGGTGACGCTTACTTCTGGCAGAGGGGTCTTTTGGGGCTGGGTATCCGCAACCTTCTTTGGCTGGTGAACCTCCTCTCTCTGTTACCCCTTCCAGCTTTGTTGGCTGCTACTAGTCTCCCTTCCTTCTTCTTCATCACCGTACTCTGTTAGCCTGTTCTCTTGGGTGCTGGCGGCAGGCCCTTTTCCTTTTTGACTTGGCTGGTGCCCTTGAGTTCTCTTAACTCTCTGCCTGCTTGAGGTTCCTCCCTTCTTCTCAGCCTAGTACTGATGGGTTTACCTCTTTCTCTCTGTTGTCGTAGCTCTTTGGCTGAGGGCTGACTTAGCTGGACTAAGCCTCCTCTGCATGGGGGTTCCGCAAGTGAGCTTTCCTTGGGTCTGTGGGCTTTCTTCTGATTCCCTCTGTCCCCCCCTCCGGCCTTTGGCGTCTCTTTGGTCTTCTCTCTCTGGGGGCAGTAGCAGTGGGGTGCTTTTTCTGGCTTAATTCTGCAGGGGCCTCTCGGCAGGCTCGTTCTCCCTTCCGGCTGGCGGCTTCCTCTCTATCCACTTTGAACATCGCTTGTCTCTTTGGCTGGGCTACTTTCCCTTCGAGACTGTGGGCGCCAGAACCTCTGTTGATCGAGAGAGTGAGCTTGTCACTGGATTACCCTTCCTTCGAGGCTGTGGGCAGGGCTGAGAGTACTTCTGGGCTACCTTCTCCTTCCGCCACGGGGCTTACGGTTGCACCTTTCCTAGCCACTGGGTGTCGTGGGTGCCTTTGTAGGCCCCTTGACTAGTTGGCTTGTGCAGCTGCGGAGGGCTACTATTCCTCTCTGGCATACCTACCCCTCTTTGGAGGGTTCTGTTGACTTCCGGGGCTAAGTCTGCTCAGTTGGGCTTCCACCCTTGGGAGTCCCCCTGTAATCAGCTTGGCTTTGCATCCTCTGCCTCTACCTTGGCGGTTACCCATGGGCTTACTTCTTCTACTCTGTCTTCCTGCAGCCCTGAGGCATTTGGCATTTTGGCCCGCTTTTGGCAGCCTTTCCCTCGCCGGTTTCCTTCTCTTTGGGTGATTACATACAGGGCCTTTTGGAGGGTTCCCTTCTTTGGCTTCCAGGGCTAAGTCTGCCCCTAGAGACAAGCTCACTCTCTCTATCTACTCATCTCAAGCCAGCAACCTTGCCGGCAGGCCCTAAAACCGAAGGTTAGAAAACATGGACCTAGAACAGAGTACTCAAAGCAGGCTACAAAGCCGGCAGCCAGCCTTGGGCATCCTCCTGTAATCAGCTTGGCTTTGCACCCACTGCCTCTGACCACCTCACAGAGCTGCCGGAAGAGACGAAAAACCGTCCCTGCACTAGCCACAGCCAAAAGACCCAAAGAGTGCCGGTACCTGCCCCACTGCCTGCGCACCCCACCATAGCGCAACCTGCGCCGATTAATCGAGCCGAATCTTCACCACCTCGACGGTTAGAAAACATGGACCTAGAACAGAGTGACCCAATGTCCACAGCCTTCAGGGCTGCCGGCTACCACTTGCCCAAAGTACTCAAAGCAGGCTACAAAGGCGGCAGCAGGCTCTAAGAACAATGGTTAGAAAACCTGGACCTAGAACACCTGGACCTAGAACAGAGCAGGCTACAAAGCCGGCAGCCAGGGCACCAGGTGGTTACAGCAGGCTCTAAGGCCGTAAGTTAGAAAACCTGGACCTACGCCAACAGTGCTCAAGGGCGGCAGCAGGCTACAAAGCCGGTAGCCAGGGCTAGGGGGGACAAAGGCAATCAGAACAGGCTAGAAAACCTGGACCTAAGGTAGCAGCCAGCCGGCTTCAGGGCTGGAGGGGGCAAAGGCAGTCAGAACAGGTTAGAAAACCTGGACCTAGGACAGAGTAGGCAGCAGGCTCTAAGAACGAAGGTTAGAAAACATGGACCTAAGCCAAGTCTATAGAACCAAGCTACCTTGAGCCTAGCCTGTAGAACCAAGCCACCCTACCAGCGTGCCGGACCAAACAACGACACGCAGGTAATATAGGGTCGTGAGGCGAGGAATCAACAACGACCCGGGCGAGGCGCGGTTGGCGCCGATACGAGCGACCCAAGCTTGACGCACCGCCTTCTTACCTCTGAAAGTCCAAGGGTCGTGAGGCGAGGAATCAACAACGACCCGACGCGAGGCGCGGTTGGCGCCGATACGGTCGAACCAAGCTTGTCGCACCGCCGTCTTACCTCAAAAAGTCCAAGGGCCTGGGACGAGGAGACCACAAGGCCCGAAGCCGAGGCGCGGTTGGCGCCGATATAGTAGGAACCAAGCATGACGCACCGCCTCCCTCCCTCAGAAAGTCCAAGGGTCGTGAGGCGAGGAATCAACAACGACCCGACGCGAGGCGCGGTTGGCGCCGATACAATAGGAACCAAGCCTGTCGTACCGCCCACTCCCCTCCCAAAGTCCAAGGGTCGTGGGACGAGGAGTCAACAACGACCCGGAGCGAGGCGCGGTTGGCGCCGATATGAGCGATCCAAGCATGACGCACCGCCCACTCCCCTAAGAAAGTCCAAGGGTCGTGAGGCGAGGAATCAACAACGACCCGACGCGAGGCGCGGTTGGCGCCGATATGAGCGATCCAAGCTTGTCGTGCCGCCCTCTATCCTCACAAAGTCCAAGGGCAGCGGCCGGCGTGGTACACGGCCGGGCCCGACGCGAGGCGCTGATACCAAGAGGCCAGCGCCGATAACAGCCAAGCATGCTGCGGCCGGGTTTTTAGGCCGCAGTAAATACCAAGCAGGCAGCCGGGTCAGCATGAGCCGGCTGTAGTTAACGTTATTTATCAAAAAACTGCGCTCCTGGCCTTCCCAGTCGCTTGCCCTGCACTGATGGGGCCAATGAGCTCATCAGCTTGGGAAAAAAGGCGGGAAAACCAAGCTGCCAGCCAAGTGAGAATTCGTCTAGGCTGTCACCTT